ACTTTGATTTGAAGGATCAAAACTCTAGTTGAGGAACCAAGCATGGTGCTCTTGATGAAATGCACTACCTTGCACAATGAGCTTAAATAAACAAGATATATTTTTTTCATTTTGATTAGTGGTTAGTTAAATAATAAGCATATAAACATAAAGATGAATATACATAAAAAAGGTGCTTGGTGATCGTAAAAGCAAAACCCCAAAGGATGAGAGGAGGAAGGACCAATGTGTGATCTTGTTTGTGTAAATATGCAAATGATAAGTGGGATCTTAGGGTTAAAAATTAGGGTATGAAACTGTTGCAACATTCACTTTGAATGTTTTGCTTTTTTCCAGTTCAGACTCCATAATTTTCTTCTTATCACATTCATACAACTTCAAGAGATTGTCCTTCGTGGTTAGTGAAAAACTTTTTTCAATCAGTTGACATACACTCATCAGATTTCTATTCATGCCAGGAACATATTATACATCCTTAATCAGTATATTTTTTCCATTGTTTAATTTCACTCTGACATTTCTCATTTTATGGTTCTTTTCTTATCTTGTAAGCATTTTGGTTTCAATGCTGGAAATATGAGAATGGACGAGAGGATTACTCTTAGCATGAGTGACCCTGATCTAGTTCCTCTACTTATCTAGGTTTTCTAATCATTTCTAATTTTGTATGCCTCCTTTTGTTTTGGGGTCATCTTTTCTGCCCAATTATGTACTGAAATTTATACTTAGTGCATTCTAGTGTTTTATACCATCTCTTGCAAGCCAGTAATCTCATTCAACTTTGATAGTCTAAATATTTTGGCTTCTATCTTATAACTAATTTAGCCATATATGACTGCATTTAGCTACATATCTTACTAGTTAAAATCACACAATAGTTGATTAAGCTTAAATTTGGTTAAAATTAACTTGAAATTAACACCATTTTACATGTTAAATATTATATGTTGGAATTGGTTTCCATTTTATAAATATTCTTTGGGATGGATTGCAAGACAGAAAAAATATTCAATGTTCTTCTATCTTGAACAAAATATTTTTTCTACCCTTGTAATCTATCTCACAAAGAGTTGATGTTGTCGTTATTGTATTTTTTGGAATAACCCTCACTTAAAGAAGGGTACTTAGTCGATAGATTGCAAGTGTAGAAAATCATTCTTTCTTAATGTTAAACAAAAAATGGAGCTTAACAAACAAAGACAGGAACTGGCTCAACCTTTAAAGGCTACTCAATTGATAGATTGCAAATGCAGAAAATCATTCTTGTTTCAAAAAAAAAATTTAATGGGTATGCGACAAAATTTGGATATCACCGAAGATTTGTTATTGTAAACGACGTTTTTATAATATTCTGCGTAAACAATGTAATTCTAAAAAAAAATAGTCACCTCGATTTTCTTTAACACCGAGGTGATAGGTAATATAAAATCTCGGTTTTACAGTAAAACTAAGGTGGTTAGTAAGCATATTTTAGTTTTAAAGATCTCGTTAAATAGATTTTACCTTAACACTAAATTATATGTAGTCACCTCAAAGAGAGGAAATATTCACCACCGTTTATCCCTTCAGTGTAATGAATTTATTTTTAAAAAGAAACTATCTAACCCTTCGGTTTTTAAATAAACCAAGAGATTTGAGGCGTTGTTTGTGTAAATAATAAAAAAGAAGATGCTAGGGATCGAACACATGATCATATAATTTTACCCATCGGTTTTTAATTTACCGAGGTGTTAAATGGCAAGTTTTCATGTCACCGTTCGTTACGTCGGCTTGGTAGCCGAGGTTACATATATTTCGCATGCGACGTTATAAGTATTATTTGTTGTAGTGGATCAAGAACATCTTGAGCTCCAAACACCACACACATCTAAATCGACCACTGATTCCAATTCTTTCCTTCGAATACTGAAAGTTTTGTCTTCAAGCTACTGTTTCCTCCGTTCATCTTAGTTCTTATGCAAACCAGTCAGTTCTCACCAACACCCGTGTTTCCCAAGCCCTAAGAACCAAGATATGTGAATTTCTTCTATTTCTAACTTCAACTCAATGCATATTGCAGGAACGAAAATCAATCACACACCTCACTACACTCATGTATTCCTATGAATCGAACCAGAGCTCTGCATACTAATTATTGGAGTTTACACTAAACCTTCATCGATGCACAAAAGAGGAAGATGAGAGAGAGAGATTGTAACTAACTTTTTAATATGAAAACTCAAATACAAAAATCTATTTCAAATGCAACTAACACTAAATTTTAAAACAATCACCCAAATTCAAATATAAATGAAATGCAAACTAAAATCCATAAAATGCAAATTAACTTAAGATAAATTGCATTACATTTAACCCTACTCATTTTAATTGAATAGACTTATAAAAAAATAGACTTTTTCTATTTAAAATAAATTGATCAGACTTAGATATATGTAGACTAAGTGGTATGCCTTATTAGTTATTATGAAATATTATCACCCTTAAAGAGAGAATTAGCTCCAATTGAACATTGAAAAAATGGAGACTAAAAACACTTCATGCCTATGATAATGCTACCCCCACCTATCTCAATCCATACATGCACTTAAAGTGAACAGACATATATACCTTACTTTTTTCTTGATAAACTTGTACATGACTCTTACACTACTTTACATACATATATAGAGCTGTACGTAACTCGTAAGAGTTCTATGAGAATATACATCTATTCATTTTAATTGACGTTTTAAGATTCTTTACATATTCCAATGAAATTAGTAGATATTTTAAAACACATTTATTTATTTTTAACAATAATTTTAATTATATATATTCATTTAAATGCAATAAACATTAATAGAAGATTTCACTATGAAACAAAAATATTATTTTAATAAATCAAAAATCAATATTATTTTAAATTATTAAAACTTAAAATCAACAAATAATTTTTTATTTTATAAAACAACAACACTTTAAAAAAGTGAAAAAGTATTAGTTAATTTAAGCTGCCGATCTTGTTGAAACGGGATTATTGTCCAATCTTGTAGTGAAACATGGTGTAGTACACATTGATTTGATTTAAAACAAAATGCAAAAAATTAAATTGTCTTCAATCATGATCATTATTTAGTCCAGTCAAGGTGGTTTATCTTGTCTATGTTGCCATTCCAAAATTGGAAATTTGATGGAACACTGCATGGTTTAACTTCAAACTCTCCTTATGTTGATAAGGGCAGAGTCACAAACAATCAATATATGCTTAATAATCATAATTAATATCAAACATACATTCACTCGTTTTCAAAGACAAAAAAACCCAACTTGTTATTAAAATATACAAGTAATTATTATGTTTTGTTTTTTGTTTGAGAATATATATATATATATATATATATATATATATATATATATATATATATATATATATATATATATATATATATATATATATATATATATATATATATATATATATATATTAAATATTTTAATTTATAATAAAAAAGGATATTATAGACTAGATGACTTTTGCTATCTTAAATAAATTCTCATAAATAATATTTAATTTTTATTGCTATAAAATAAATTTTTATTTGAAATGATAAGGCCCCTTTTAACTTTTTTTTAAGGTTTAAATTAAATAAATTTAATAAAAATATTGTAAAATTTTTAAAACAAACAATCGTAGTAAATATTAGACGAAAATTAATTAACATATGTTTTTTAAAAAATAAAATAGTAAAACATTTATATATATATATATATATATATATATATATATATATATATATATATATATATATATATATATATAATATTTATTCATATTTATTATCTATATAAATAAATTATTAATATTAATAATTAACAAATACTAAGACACAATTTTTTAGCATTTTGTTATCTTAATTAAAATTATAGAATTATTCAGTTTTAAATGTTAATGGACAGTTTGTTTCAACCTTAAAAAAATGATTTTTTTCATTATATTTTTAAAAATGAATGTTATAAAACTGTTTTTTAAAATATTATAACTTTTTTATATTTAATTTTGAAAAAAATTAAAAATATAACTTTGTCATTATATAACATAAACATATATTAGTGAAGATCAAAACATAATCGCAAATAGAAATTGCAATTTTTTAAAACAAATATATCTAAAAATTAATTTTTATGAAAAACAATTTAAAATAATTTCAAAATTAAGTGATTTTTTAAAATTTTAATATCTAAAAAAAGTTTATGTAAAATAATATTTTAAAAATAGTTATTCAAACAAAATATTCATTTAAAACTTTTATAAAAAAGTTTTTAAAAATTTTTTTTTGCACTAAATTTAATAGCACTATAAAAACTATTTTTAAAAAAGCCAAAATAAACTGCCTAATATCGTTTTACAAAGTTTGAAATTAGTATACATTTTAAAACCTAAAAATAATAAATGTTTTCCCAAATAAACAAACTCTTAGTTTTTTATTCTCTTACGTCATTAGTAATCAACATTACACATATAGAACTAGATTTAAATCCCTTAAACTATTTCTTATTCAAATCTTTTGATAACATAAATATAGTTATTAGAAGAGAAAAAAAAAACTTCACTAAAAAGTATAGGTTAAATTCAATAATATTAAAATTCAAAGAAATTTACCGTCTAGAATTAATCTAAAAAATCTTTGACAAAATTAGACACAATGATTAAAAATTAATAGAGCATTAGTGTTAATAGTTTTTTAAACTTAGTTTCCATGATCGACCGACAAAGGATCCAAATTGTGCCATTAATGAAGGAGACAAGCTCTTAGGATCTCCACTGAACTTGCAGATATATGTCCTCTTTCTTTTTCTACTATTTCTCTCTTCAAGGAACACTGAACCTTTAACTTAACCCTCTCTCTTATACATTTCTTCCATATATATCTACACTTCAGTTTCATCTTTCAAACCACAATTACACTTTTCCTCTCTCTCCTCTCTCTTTCTCTCTCTATCTCTTGATATATATACTAGTTATGAATAATTTTCATCCTAATACTTCTCTTCACTTAATCAACCAATCAGAAAATGAGAATATTCATCATCATCGTCATCATCATCATCTGAATCTAGATCTTGTTCTTGAACCATCTTCTTCATCATCGTCATCCTCACCTATAAGCTCAACCGAGCAAAGGATATTCTCATGCAACTACTGTCAGAGAAAGTTTTACAGTTCTCAAGCTCTTGGAGGACACCAAAATGCTCACAAACTTGAGAGAACACTTGCAAAGAAGAGTAGAGAGATAACTTCAGCCATGCAATCCTATAATGAATTACCAGAACACCCTTCAAACTACAACAATACTTTTGGTCATGGAAACTCTCATCTTGACGGTAACCATGGACAAGGAGGTCATTTCATGAGGTATGGTGGAAGAAAAGAAGGTGTGAGTTCTTCTTGGTCAAGGGGTTATAACAGTTCTTCTGAACATGTTCAGGAAGATATTAACCAACTTGACTTGTCCTTAAGGCTTTGAAATGAAACAATGCTTCAGTTACTAGCTATAATTAAGAGCAAGGTTGAAATAGTTACTGAAATTAGAGACAGAAAAAATTAACATTTTTCTGTCACTAAATTTCTTAAGCTAATTCATCAGATTTCAAGGTGTAACAATTATTTCAAGTGTCATTTTTTAGAAGAATCTGAGTTTCAGGTTACATATAGATTAGATTGGTTACTAGTATGTTAAAGCTTTTTATCTTTATGGTTTCTTTGTATGTTTCTCTAGTATTGTAAGCATGGAAGAATTTCTATGAGATGTTTTTAAGAGAAAATTAGGTTTTGTTAAAATAAATGTATAGGAGTTATTGTAAAATTAGGTTTTTCATATCAAAAGGTATATATTATTTTAAGATATATAAGTGAGGAGACTTCTATACTCAGAGATATCTAGGAAAACTTGGTTCCATATCACTTATGTAATAATATTTAGTGTTTTAGCTTTTTTTCCCCACAATCTAACGTACTTATAAATTAGACAGATACAAATTTTTTATATAATACCGGCCCTGTGACATGAATACATATAAGTTTTTTCTTTAGAAATGTAGGTGTTACATAGTGTAACACTGAAATCAGAACTTGTAAATAGACTTGTAATTTATGGACTCTTTAGATCGAAAATCTTCATATATGTATATCTCAATTATCAAATTGTATATATTGTTGTACGATACATAAGGGAGAGGACTCGAATACTTGTTAAGCTATCTGGTAAAACATGGTTTCAAACCACTTATGTGATAATAATTCAACCTATGAAACACAACCCCAGACGCAAACACCTAGCACAACACCGACCATGACACGAGCACACATTTTTTAGAAGTGTCAGTGCTACAGAGGTTAACCATTCTATCTGAACCAATAATTTGACTCGTGATTAATGGAATCTTTGGATCTAAAGTCTTGTGAATAATTCGACTCGTACTTGAGTCATCTTGGAGCAATATGTTGCTGACTAGTGAATGCATACATAGGATTGGTTCAATTGTGATTTTATGCAGAAAATAGTACCATTTAAGATACTTGTACAGACTTTTAGAGAGTTTATCACCACATGGTGTTGTTGGTGGAAACTAAAGATACCTTTATCAGTACTTGCATTTCATTATTGATACAAAGTAATTATATTGTCTCCTTCACAAAGAGCCTTTTATAGTTTCTGACATGTATTTCTTTCTTGTAAACTTGAGAGACCAAAATGTATTATTTTTCCTTTTGTTACCAATCAACTCCCACAGCAACAGCTTCACGAATGGTAATAAGTTTCTTAATGTTATTTGCTTCATAAATAACTACGTGCATATATATTTTTTTTCGAATAGTTTGTTCTAATTATTAGGAAAGGATATTTGTTTATGCCAAAAGTCTTTAGTAGATGATTTCAAATTCATCATTCACTTCATCAATAAGCAGACCATTTGTATTTTTTTTTAAGTACAATAAGTTTGACAAGTCATGACGTGTGGTATAGTTGGAATGCAAGATTGTCTAATGCATTGCCCGTTAAGCTTTCTAAGCAACGGAAGTAACTTGGACATAAGGATGATGTTGTGAGAAATTTTTGTTTAATCAAAAAGAAAATATCACACAACCGTGAAACAATGTGCGAGCTAAAATGATTAGAATTTAGTGAAAAGTAATTAAACAAATAATAAATAAAACAAAACAAAGAATTGATAATTTAATTGCAATTGTTATATGAGAATGTCATTTTTATGTAAGAACGTGAGAATAAATCTGAACCATTAGATTTTAAAATAAATGTTGGAGATTATGTGTGGTTTTTTTTCCTCTCCTCTATCATTTATTTTAATAATGGAGTAGAGAGAAAAACAAAAATCACAAATAATCTCCACCATTTATTTTAAAATCTAATGGTTCGGATTTATTCTCATATTCTCGCATAAAAATGACATTCTCATATGATACGTTATATAGTTTCCGTAGTTGAACTTGCGGAAGGATCATTGTCGATGCCTTACATGCAGTCCAACACGTGAATTAGTTTGAACACATACGGTGGGCTTGAGGTGTTCCACACCCCGGCCTGCCACTGGTTTCGGTGGCGGACGACGAAGTGCGTTCTCCTCTGTCCCAAAACTCAAACCCCGGCGGTGAATGCGTCAAGGAATTTTAACTTTGCTCTGAGCGCATCCGCGACGTTGTGAGAAGTCCACTTAACCTTATCATTGAGAGGAAGGAGAAGTCGTAACAAGGTTTCCGTAGGTGAACCTGCGGAACTGGCGATGCGGGATGAACCGGAAGCTGGATTTCGGTGCCCAACTGCGCGCTAACCTAGACCCCACAAAGGGTGTTGGTCGATTAAGACAACAGGACGGTGGTCATGGAAGTCGAAATCCGCTAAGGAGTGTGTAACAACTCACTTGCCAAATCAACTAGCCCCGAAAATGGATGGCGCTAAAGCGCGCGACCTATACCCAACCAATGGGACAAGGGCCAGATATATATATATATATATATATATATATATATATATATATATATATATATATATATATATATATATATATATATATATATATATATATATATATATATATATATATATATATATATATATATATATATATATATATATATATATATATATATATATATATATATATATATATATATATATATATATATATATATATATATATATATGGGGTTTGTTAAAGTAGATCTACTTATTTTTATAAAAGTCTATTTTAGGAAGCTTTAACTAAAATATCCTTAAATACAAAGGTGCACTTAACTAAAACACACCTTCATAAAATTAAGTGGGTGTATTATAGCAAACTCCACGGAGGTTTGCTATAATACACCCACTTGTTTTCATGAAGGTGTGTTTTAGCAAATTTTAACTTGAAAAAAATACTTAAATGCACCACAAACTATTGTTAAAATAACTTATAGTGCATTAAAATACTTATATATATATATATATATATATATATATATATATATATATATATATATATATATATATATATATATATATATATATATATATATATATATATATATATATATATATATATATATATATATATATATATATATATATATAGAGAGAGAGAGAGAGAGAGAGAGAGAGAGAGAGAGAGAGAGAGAGAGAGAGAGAGAGAGAGAGAGAGGTGCAACCTAATGGAAAGAAAATTCATTAATTATAAGTACCCAATAGTATACGACAGTCTCATTTGAAATATTCTAGCTTATTGTCATTTTCTCAATACTACCCGTCCAATTTCAACTCATACTCTCCTTAAATATGAGATCCCTTCACTTTCATTCAAACACCCCTTCATATGTGTGTATGAATCAATATATAAATGTGACAATTTCACGAATATAGACAAAAATACGATCTATCCCTTCTAAGTAGAAAAGAATACCAATGATTGAGTTTTACACAATCAAGACACTTTAAAAAACACAAACAAATAAACTCTTAGGATGTGTGAATACTCTCTTCAATTATGTGTCTTCCAAAAATCTCATTAGGGGGAAAATGAATTCCTACCTAATCTAATCTTTAGCAAATTCAGTCTTTTATTCAAAGCAAATCCAATTAAATATTTTCAAGCAAATCTGATAGCTAAATCTATTTCAACCAAAATCTTTGCAAAACACATCTCCAGAATCTAGAATGAAATAAATATTTTTGAAATAAACCTTTCTGAAATAAATATGGAATCAAACAAGCAAAACTAAATCATTTCAAAATGCGCACTAGAAGTAAATCAAGTCATAAGGTCTCAACAACATTTGAGACATCTTACTTAACATTTGGCCTACAAAATAATAAGTCAATCTAAATGTAATAGAAAATTTCCTCTTTTTCTATATTTTAGACAAAACAAAGGTTTAAACACTTTTTTTAAAGTAGCAAAAGACAAAGCAAACTCAGAGAATAAAATGTATGAACAACATACAGCAAGCATGATTCAGATTAGAAGTGTGTCTTTCTTCTTCTATTTGTCTTGAAAGATCCAAGAGAAACAATATCACAATCAACAAGCAAAGAGAATCAACAAATCAATCCATAAAAAAACATCAAACTAAAGTATAATAGCAAATAAAATCAAAGAGATAGAGTAGCAATGTGACTATCCCACAAGGTATGTACTATGGTTTTATTGTGCTTGTAGAACAAGGCTCTTAAAGGTTCCCAGAGTCATTGATTCGTCTTTTGCATATTACCGGCTTGCGAAACTACTTGTGCGGGTCAATAATATTCTTAAGAGAAACTCGTCTGAGTGTAGTATCGCGTATAAACTGCCTCAGGTTTACACCTAGATAATCATCGCACTACATCCTAAAAAGGCCAAGAGGGGTTATAGGGTTCTAAGGTCCTCAGCTTCTCAGACTCCCAGGTCAAAAGTAATAATGCCATTATGACTACTCGCAATGACAAATACTACCATCAAAGGGGTCTCCATTGAGTTGGATTATATCATATGTTAATCATGCTTAGGATTACTCCAGACATGTAACTTTTGATTAGACCACCATCCTATCTTATTGTACACTTAAATCAGGGTTAGAACTTATTTTACCTCTCATGGATCACCAAACAGCCAAAAAACAGAAAACCAAGTAAAACAGCAAAAAATAATAATAACACAAATAAAACAAGTTAGGTTTAACCCTCTTGGGGATGTCCTCAGTGGAGTCGCCATTTCTGTCACGGTGAAGAATCGGAGACCAAATTATTGACTAACTTGACTCGCAAAAAAAATGTCACCACCGAACTTTTATTTTTCCAAGGGAAGGGTAAAAGATCGAATAAACCCATAACAAACATACAAAGCAAAAATCAAGACCAAAAGCTAAGCAATACAGAGATCAAAGGTATGAGGGTTGCTTATGCTAAAGGAAGATACTAACACCCTAAGCATCTATAGTATCCTATAAGAACCTCTCGAAATATTTGTGTGTGGTTAAAAGTGTTTGGTGGAGGATGCA